GGAAAAGAAACAGAGGAAAAACTGACGAGTTAACCCAGCTGATAAAAGCCCTTCAGTCATCCCTTCCTCTCATTTCCCTCCCGTTCTGCACCATGAGAGGGTTTTCTCCCCAGTTTTGGTGGGCTGTGGGTGTTACAGACACACCACAGGCACCCTGCTCATGGGTTTGGTTATTTTCCATCCTGACACCAAACTGCAGCTGCTCAGGGAGGTGTGGGGTGATCCATGAGGAGCCTTCACATTTCATTTCTATTCGTGTTTCACCCTATTTGTGTTTTTGCTTCTCCTGCTGGAGAGATGTTTCTCCAAGCAACAGTGATAATAACATGAGACTTTTTCTGAATCTCCAAAAATTGGATTTCTCTGGAAGCAGGGTTCCAGCAATCCCTGGGAAAAGGAAAAGCTGATGAGAAACAATTCTGTGCAGGAATGTGCTCTGTGTTCTGGATGCGAGACCTCCCTTAGGCAGCAAAGAATTCAAAACTCAGAGTTACTCCTCCCTGTACTAATTTTACCTGTGTAAAAGGTGACAACAGGGTTTCCTAGTGAGTGATGTGAAATATAATTAATAATAATATAGTAAGAGTACAATAATAGTGCACTTGCCCTATGTACAGAAATTTTCTTGTCTTTTTATCAGTCCAGAAACTCACTTTTTCAAACTTTCAGCAAATTATTTGTGATTTAGGACCTAAACTGAGCAGACATAAAACTGCCTGATGTTCACTTGTGCAAATTTCCTTTTCAGACTCTGACCATAACGAAGAGCATAATCTGATTTACATCTGAGGGTGTTTTACAGAGGGGCACAAAGTGGCTTTTGCCCAAATAGAACACAGGCCCACTGATGAAAGGAGGGCTCTTTTCACTGCAGAATTAAGGAGCCTCACAAATTCCTAGTGGGAAGGATTTAATCTGCAAAGGGCCCCAGCCAACTGAATGGGTTTTGCTGAATATCTCAGAAAATGCTGCACAGAGCTGTAATTAGTGACAGACAAGTCTGTCTGTCTGCTAATGCAGATGCTGCTGTGCTGACACTTTTGGAAAGCATTTGAGCTGCATTTTTTCCCTCCTTTCCTTGCCTTGCCAGAGCAGGAGAGGATGGGAGATGCTGGAGCAACACCGGGGATGCTGAGGCAGCACCTCCACCTGTGCTGGCTCCAGCTGAGCTGCTCTGGAGATTGGATATTCCCAAGCATGGATCTGACTGGAAAGCCAGGGGAAAATCTCATATTTTGCGTCCAAATCCCAGCAAAAAATGTTCTCAGTGGTGGTGCAGCTCCTCAGCCCTCCCCTGAGCTGTCACTCCCAGCCCCACTGAGCACATTCATATCACCTCAACCAGCAGCTGTTTTTCATATTTTCTGTTATTCAGGTGAAATATTTTGTTGGAAAGGGGGAATCTCAGGACATTGCATTGACTCATCAGAATCAACACAGGGAAGCAGAGCTCAGGGAGCTCAAACCCAAGGATGAGCAGCCTTGGGGTCACAGATATCAACAAAAGAAGATCGGGCTGAAACAGCATCTAAACTCAGCATGAATTAAACATCAATAATAAATAAGCATCTCCTTGATGCTGGCTTTATGAACAAAAAAGGCAATTTCTTTTTAAATTAGCTGGTTAAGGTAATCTGTTTACTGTACTTCTGCCAGCAAAAAAAAAAAATAATTGTTGGCATTGCTGTTTGCTCAGGATATAAATCTTCGCCCTGCGGAGGGTTAGCAAATGTAAAATTTATGAGCAGCCAGATTAAAAATACAATCAGGTCAATGGGAGTGCATCCCAAAACACACAGCTGAGGGTGCGGAGAGCCCTGAGAGAATCTGGAAAAACTGGAGAATCTGGGAGAAGAGAACCCTGGGTGCCACTGGGGACCTCACCTGCCTCAGCCATGGGATGCAGCTGGCACAGGAATAAACTGCCAGGCCAGGAAGGCAGCACCAGCACTGAGAACTGCCAAAAGGTGGAAAAGAAGAGGCTGTGCAGTGTAATTTGATAGTTCAGATCAGGGAACATTCTGAGTTGGAAGAAACCCGCAAGGATCAAGTGGAGCTATTGGGCCTGCATGGGACAGCCCCAAGGGGAGCCTTTGGCAGGAATTAACCCGAGGCTGGGACCCAGGGAGAACAGGAGAGCCAGCAGGGAGATGTGTCATTGAGAGCTCCATCAGCCAGGGAGGCAGAGGGGAGCTCTGGAATTGCATTAACAGGACCATGTTTGCACGGGAAGGTCGATCCATCCAGGGGGACTCAGCCCTGGCAGCAGTGTTTGTGGAGCACAGCCTGGTGCAGGGGCTCAGAGCGCAGCAAATGCAGCAAGAACGGCTCTTGCACGTTTAATTAACCTTTTCTGCTGCAACAAAGGTGTCAAACAACTTCAGTGGCACTGATATGCAAAGGGAGGAGAAAATAAACTCTGATACAAGAGTGAAACACAGCAGAAGTCAACCCTCCCTGACAACTTCCAGCAGCACACAGAGAAGCCGACAACGCTGGGTTATCTACAGTGAGCGGGCAAATTTGAATTTCCTTTTCTTCTCTTTTCTTATTTTATGCCATGCACAGAGGCTGCTTTAAACTGGGTTTAAAGATTGGAGCTATTGGAGCCTCAGTGTGACCTGCAGAGCACATCAGTGCAGGTGGGCAGCACCTCTGATAACCCAGAGCACCCTGAGCCCCCAATTCTTTGGGCTGCAAGGACCCTAAATCCCATCCATCATCCATCCATCCATCATCCATCCATCCATCCCTCCATCCCACCCCATCCATGGCAGGGACACCTCCCACTGTCCCAGGTGCTCCAGCCCCAGTGTCCAGCCTGAACTTGGGCACTGCCAGGGATCCAGGGGCACCACAGCTGCTCTGGGCACCTGTGCCAGGGCTGCCCACCCTGATGATAACAAATTTCTTCCTCAAATCCATTCAAACCTGCACCCTTCTGCACCTCCAGAGCGTTTCCCTCTCCAGGCACCAGCCCTGACCTTCCAAAAGCAGCTTGAAAGCTCTGCCAGCATTGCAGTTGTATTTCAATTATGAAATAACATTTCTCAACTTAAAAAAAAAAAAAAACAATTATTAAAGAAAAATATGCTATTTTTCCCAACTATTTGTATAAAATTTCACAATAAGTTACTTTCCCTTAAGAAATTTTTCTGCCGTGCAAAACTCCAGAGCCCAGAGTACAGAATGGAAGTTGATTTTTTTTTTTTTTAAAAGATCTATTTTCAGTACTGGCTGCAAAACACAAGTTACCCTAAAAAACCCAACTCGTTCCCTGGAAAATCACCACCCTCAAGACAAGGATGATACTTTAGTGAATTCTCTGTAAAGCCTGCAGCAGGGGAGGTGCCTGTCTGCCACCTCTCCTGGGGAATTCCTCCTGTCCCAGGGAGGAGATGGATGGAAAGACTTCCCAGCATGACAGACTGACAGCAGGACACTCCTCTACCCAAAAATCCTCGAGATTCTCTGCAGAAATGCCACAATGGGGGTGAAAAGCAGCAGGAGCCACAGCGGCAGCTTTTGTGTAGGATCCAGAGCAGTAAATTCATTACAATAATGAGATTATAACTCGATGTGTGCTATGGTGGGAGTGCTCCAAAGGTTCCATTTACTGCTTTCCAAGAAAGGCAGCTTTGGCTGTGGGTACAGCAAAACTCTACAACTGATGAGTCTTTTAATTTACTCCCCACATGGGGAAAATCAGGAGAAAAACACAGCACAGGAAAAGGAATCTTTAAATCATCTAATTAAAAAAATTAAAACCTGTTCAAATCAACCCCAGATTCTTGCCTTAACATGAAAGATTTCACTTTGTTCTTGCTCTTTCACTCCTTTTTAATGTTTTATCATTTTATATTTCCCTCGATTTTAAAAGGAGAAGCGTTAATTTGAAATGCAAGCCCCAAAAGTTGTGATTTTAAATGAAATGTCTTTCAGAAATCTTTCCAATTTGAAAACTTCCCTACTTTTTAAAAAAAACTTACACTACCCACCAAATTCAATTCAGCTTTGCCAGAAGGGTTGGTTCTAAACTCTTTTTCTGTGGCAAAATTATTATAAATCAAAAACCATTCTCCTCATCATCTCTGGAGTTCAACCCAACCTTCCCTGCTGACAGGAGCTCAGGAACATTTGGGAGAGAAAATCTGAATATTTCCTCTGAACAACATGGGATGGGACCAGGGGAGCAACAAAACCAGGATTTTTTGGATGCTGTGGAGGTCTCTGCACATCTGTTGGGTGTGGAACCTGCAGCTTCCCCTCTCTGAAACATCTCCAACAGATCCCTGGTACCAAACCCAGCGCTCTGTGCCCCTAAATCCCCTCCCTGCAGCTCCCACTCACCTCTACACAGGTAAAGCCACACTTTCAGTTTGCTTTGTGGCTGTTCCAGCAGAAATTTGGGGATGAGCGCCAGGATCAAAGGGATAAATGCATCCTCTATTTAAGAGAGCAGGCCTAGGAGGCTGAAATTTGGCATTTCCCAGTGCCTGGCTCTGGGATTGCAGCAAGGGAAGAGCAGGTGCAGAAAGCCTTTGAGGGGAGAGGGCTCTGCCCTGGCACTGTTAAATCCCAACTCCCCCTGTTCTTCAATCACTGATCCTCCTGAAAGCTGTTCTTAATTGGCAATCAACAATTAACATTTATCCACAAAAGCTGGGGCAACCCACACACCACAAATCCCAAGCTGTAACACGAGGTTGCTCCCCCAGATTTCCCGCTTTGCCCTCCCAGCCACGAGAAGGAAAAAGAGACTTTTCCAAGCACTTCCAGCACGTTTCCATGCCAATGTCCTCCTGGGGATGTGTTTTTGTTTCAGCTGCTCTGATTCTCAATTAATATGCACCATCCAGCCAGGTTTTATTTCAAATTACACCCTTCTCGAGACGCGCCATTCGAAGAGAAAGTCATTTCAAAAAATACCCCCGCAAAATTACGTCCTCACAAAATATTTACTGCAGATTGCGCTGCCTGCAACAAGGCAGCCTGCTCACCATAAAACGTCAGCTGTCCTCGTGCCACGTTCTTGCCCCTGACATTTTCAGCCACGCACTCGTAGAGCCCGGCGTCCTCCTGCTGGAAGTTGGGGATCTCCAGGAGCCCGCTGGAGCGGTGCCTGCGCGCCTTCCTGGGCAGCTGCTTCCCATCCGCCCTCCTCCAGCTGATGGTGGGCACGGGGCTGAGGGAGGGAAGGAGATAACACTGCCAGGGGAAGCCATGGTCACACTGAGGTGTTGGGGATTTTTTGCAGATTTGATAGTAAAAGGTTGTAAAATCATAAAATTTGGGGAATTAGAAGCCAGACTTAGCGGTGCCTGCGCACCTTCTGCGGCAGCTGCTTCCCATCCGCCCTCCTCCAGCTGATGGTGGGCACGGGGCTGAGGGAGGGAAAGAGAGCAAGATAACACTGCCAGGGGAAGCCATGGTCATTGTGAGGTGTTGGGGATTTTTTGCAGATTTGATAGTAAAAGGTTTTAGAATCATAAAATTCGGGGAATTAGAAAGAAGCTGGACTTAGTGGGGCCCTGGAAAAATGTTAAAAATAGACTCTGAAAATGTTAGGCTTTGAGTTTGCCAGATCATGTGAAATTGCACCTGCGTAAGCAGTATATGATAAATGTTGTAATTGTTAGATGTGATGATTGTTCAGTAATTAAATATAATTATTGTTTAATCATAAGAAGAATCATGAGAAACTATGTTAGAAGTTTGAGGGGGACCACGAGGAGCCCGTGCTTGGATGAAATCTATGTATACCATAGAACAATATAAGTTTAATAATGAAAATGAAAGTTATATAATGATAGAATATAAAAACATGTTCATCCCGAACCCATGTCGGGGTCAGACTTGGGTTTGTACCCCTGTGTCCTGGCATCAGAGAATATAGAGAAGATAAAAAGGTAAAACCAAAAGGGTAGTAGAGAATATATGAAGAAAAAAAAAGGTAAAAACCAAAACAGCATGAGAGAATAAAGAGAAGATAAAAAGGCAGTGAGGGGCCTGGCACAGGGTCCACAGGGGATTTTGTTATGGGTGGGTTATGTGGAACATAAGTGTAAATGTGAATTTATAATTGATTTTATGCTAATCTGATACATATATTCTTCCCTGAAACATTAAAGGAGAGGTGGGGCTACACAGTGCAATAGTTTAAATGATTATGGCTGTCACTCACAATTATTCAATCTGTTGTATATGAACAGATTTTATAAACAGGTTTTATTATGGGTAGGTTATGTGGAACATAAATGTAAATGTCTTTATCACGGTGTCTAAGCAGGAGATGTTTTATTATTAAAATGCTGTTTTGACCCAGCTGAATCTGGGGTAAAAACCCATCCATTTTAAGGTGGGCAGGCCCTGGAAGGGGTTGCCCAGAGAAGCTGTGGCTGCTCTAAAAGTGCCCAAAAGACAGGGCCTGGAGCAGCCTGGGATGGTGGGAGGCGTCCCTGCCCATGGCACTGGATGGGATTCAAGGTCCCTTCCAACCCAAACCATCCATTTTGTGACGATTTTCCTGCCATTTCCCTACATTTTGGAAGTTTTGCCAGTGTTTACTCCAGGAACAAGAGTGCCCAAGCCCTGTGGCTGCTCTGAAAACTGGCCACAGGTAACTCCTGCTGAGGGAAGTGGGTCATTAGGAACAGCTGCAAACCCCACAAACGTGAGGAGCCGCAGGAATAATAATTAATAACAAAAATGGATCCAAACTTACTTGCCCAAGGCAAAGCACTCCAGTTTCACCGTGGTTCCCTTCGCAGATGGAACAGTTTCTGGGAACTGCACTTCTATTTTGGGCTCGTACTCTCCCATCACCCCTGGGAACATAAAGGAGATGCTAAGGCTTGGTTGAGTTTCAGCAGTAAACTCACAAGCGTTCCCGTGCTAGCACAGAGCTGTTCTATACATCATTACTTGCCCAATTAATCCATTCATTTTAAACATGGCTTGTTCCTAACAGCCGTGGCGTGTGGGCTCTTTTCCCATTTACTGCCAGAGGAGAAGCTGAACCAACTCTCCACACCATCTGCCAAAGATTAAATTCTCTTCGTGGCTCTGTTACTTTTTGCTTTTGAATATGCAGGATTTTTGCAGGTAACTTGTGAAATAAGGGGAGCAGTAATCAGGGAGGTTCAGCATCTTCTAGAAACGGAATGTGGAACTAGCAGCCATTAGGAAAAAAGTTTGAAAATCCCTAGAGTTAACAGAGATATTTCTATTAACTTCCAGGACTTCAATGCACAGAGATCTTCTACTCCTCGGGTAATTTCTTTATTTTTTACTGCCCCAGTAAATCACGGAGCGTGGCAGCCTCTTTATGAAATTGTGTTTAAAAATTTGTGCACATAAAAAGGCCATTATACCCCTGACAAATGGCTCCATTTCCAGCCACTGCACTGTCTTAAACCCAGCACATATAATTCCACCAATAGTGATTATCAGCTAATTGATGATTGCAGTTCCAATCTCAAGAGTGCAGCACTTGCTGGATGGTGGCCAAGGCAGGAGAGGAGCTGGGTCAGCCCTGGAGAATCCCAAAAACACAGAAATGAGCCTGCAGTGACACTGGGGCACGCCAGAGCTGCTGAGGTTGGCCTGTGATTGCTGACTGCTCTTGCTTTTCACACTGGATGCAGGAATATCCTGTTTTTTCCTTTAGTTTTCCAGTGATGAAGCTGGAAATGCTGAGTGTGAGCTGACACCACTCCACCTCTGCTTGCTGACCTGTTCTGATGCAAAAGCAGGTTGTGTCATCTTCCAACACAGTAACTGCAAATAAATGCTCAACAAAGTAGCTCCTGCACAGCCTCAGTTGTCAAAATGAAATGCATTTATTAAAAATATGGATACTCTCCCCATATTCCTGCCCTGCCTGGTACACAAAACAGGAAATCTGGGATTCCCTGGTGACATTCCAGCATTTACAAACCATACAAACATAATTATGTGGCATGTCACTCATTAGCCCTCTGCATGTTAACACTGCACCCTCCAAAAGCTCAAAATCCTGTTTTCCCAATTGGGACCTGCCAAATCTTTGCACTCTTGCCTAAATGTCTCCAAAATCTCTGCTGAATATTTGCTGGGTGAGCTTCAATCAAGCCAAAAACTGCCCCGTGGTCTCCGAAGCAGCAGCTGATAGAACTTGTGGAGATATTTTCCTCCTTCTCTTCACTCACTTTTTATTTATTCCCATTTCTTTGCCTTGGGCTGGGCTTGGAGGGCTGAAATTCCAGGGGGATAAAACCCCAGTGGGGTGGGAATGTTTCCCTGGGGCTGTGGGACACCAAGTACAGCCACCACCCCATTGAGCCCTGCAGCTCTGCCCTCTCCCAGCCTCACTGAGAGCTCCAACCACTGAAAAATCAGGATTTGCACCAGGAAAAATCAGGATTTGCACCTGGAAAAATCAGGATTTGCACCTGGCAAAACCACAAGGCTCCTGCTGCAATGACACCCTGCCTATCTCCATGGATTTATACAGGGTATGAAGTGAGTCCTGCTGTCTGCTCTCTATAGCAGCAACATCAGAGCAGTTGAGACATCTCCATCCGGAATCCAAGACCATTTCCATGCAGAAAATCCTCATTTTCCCTGCTGTTCCTGGGTGATTGAACATCTGACTTAGCTGTGCAGGTGGCAGGGATGGAGGAGGAAATAAAGCACCAAACAGAGCCTGGTTTGTGGCTTGGAGAGCACTCCCAGCATCAGGGCACATCAGATGCTCCATGTGTTGGCATTTCAGAGGCTTTTGTGCCTTTCTTCCAATTTCAAAGCTTAAAAATATTTTTTTTTGAGCTGAAAGTCCCAGGAATTCAGGAGGAGGCTAATTTGTCTGAGGATTTGCTATGCATTTCCTGACAACACCTGTGAAATGTTGCAGTTTAATTGGCCCATCCAGCTGCTGCTGTTGGCAATTTCATTCCAGGACTATTTTGGTCCTTTCCCACTGTTACTGTTTCAATCCTGGTATGGCAAATCCCACATTTTAAAGAGAAATAAGGAAGCAGCAGCTCTCAACACTTGGATGATCCCAGCAACAATTCCTGTCCCATCAGCTGAAAGCCATTTCCCCTTGTTCTACCACTGCACACCCTTGTACCAAGTCCCTCTCCACATCTTCCAGTAGGGATTGCAAAAAAAAAATCCTACTATTGGAATATTAAAAAATATTATTTCAGCACTGCAATCATCATCATGAGGCACATTTAACCATTGCTGTTTGCCATCCATGCCAGGCTCACTGTGGACTCAGAGGGACAGATTTGCTGCGCTGTATTTATGGGAACACAGAATTCCCTGAAAGGGAGGGCAGATGTGGAGCAGAGCTGGAAAAGCAGCACCTCCACCCCTCCCAGTCCAGCTGGGACAATTCCTCACCACCAGCAGCATTTCCCACTCCATCCACAGGGATTCTGTCAACCTGACAGGCAGGAGGCTGCAGCAAGGAGCCTGCGTTTTCCAAGCAAGGAATTTTTATCAAATCCCACAAGGTGACAGTGGATCTTCTTGCAGAAGTTGCTAGCATTGCATTTCTATTCCTGGAACAAATGCCCCAACTGTTAGCCTTTAAACAGAGACATTTTAATTAATTTTAATTGGAAATTAACATGCAAATGTATTTTTCTTATCTGCTCCAAAATGATGACGATACAGATCAATTGTCTGTATAAATTTAGAAATCCTCTTTTGCTTTCTTCTCCCCTTTTTTGTATTATTCCACAGACCACTAATAATAGCACTAATTCTGCTGGGAAACACAGGCTGAGCTAACAGTTACCGAAAAAACAAAGTGCCTTTGTTCACTTTGGGGCTGCATAAAATGAGAAAAACTGCTATGTCCAGACTCTAAAATCTATTTTGTTTCCTGTCTTTGGCCAACTCCCACTGGGTTTTTCTTTTGTAATTACTGCCTGACTCTCAGAACTCTAGCAGTGTGTCTAGCAGACTCTACCTCACTGAAAAACTGTGAGAGGGGAAAAACCCTT